ATCTCTTTTTTTGAATGTCATTTAAGGAATGTAGTTTTTAATTTATCGAGGTTTATTAGATAACCTTTTCAGATTGTCAGATGCGGCTCCCAATGGAGGTTCAGTTAAAAGGACTGTAGGAGTGATTCAGGAACTTCATCGTCTCTTGAGTGTAGTGGGTCATCAGTTAGCGTTTATCCATTCTGTGTGAGTAGGCAGTTCCGTCATATTGGAGTTATTGGGTCATGATATGTATTATGAATTCACTAATTCATAGCTCCAAGAAAAGTTCCATTACTCCTGCAGTAAAGTTGTGTAGTTTTCTTCCAATTTTTTTGACCTGATGTTTATTTGCTGTCAGTAATTGATGATTGGTTTAGTTATTTGGTAAAATAGTTCTTTTTTATCGGCGGGCTTGTACTGTAATCATCGTGGGAATGACAACTATTAAGCCTTTATAATCGAAACGACTTAGAGTAATAATAATAAACGTTGTTTTGACGAGTGTTTGCCTAAGTTGGTGATGGGTTTCTTGTTTGTCATAGTTGGCTTTTTGTAGTGGACATAATTTTTTTTTGCATGCAGTACTGAACTGTATGCTGTATGAGATCGAGGGTTTGCTAATTGTCTCATTTTTGCGGATGAATTTTGATGGTCCAGTTTGTTATTGTTTCGAGTATTTGTAGAAGAGGTTGAGGGAAGTGTAGGATAGTTGATTTTGTATGGTTCTTGGCAGACGATTTTGGTACCTCAGGTTGTATGCTGCTCGTTTTGTTTGGTAATGTCGTCTTTCATGCCGGGACTTTCTAACAACAGATAATGAGTTTTTTGCAGGATTGCGTAGTTCAGCCTGGAGCTTCTGCAGTCTTTTTAGTTGTTCCTGATTTGAAGAATTGGAAAGAATTTGACACTTTTGGTTGCCTACATGATTTGTGCTCGATGATGACAAATATTCATTAGAACGATTGATGGGGAATTTTAGGCGCGTTGAAAAAAATCTGATTGATCGTATTTGAAAATTTTCAAGATAAGTAAAATAGGCTGAAAATTTAGCATGTGGCAAGTTAATATTCGGACTTAGAAGTACAGTTGTTGAAAAGTGAAGGCCTCAGTTCTACAGGTCCTGAAGGAGCTTGAAGCTTGAAAATTTTTTGTGACCTTTATTGTGGTGAGAACGATGTTTTACATGAACATTTGACAAAAGCGTTGAAGATATTGCTGTGGTGCAATTTGCTGTGCGGCAGTGCTGCAATGAAAAACATTTTTGGCCATCTCGACTAGTCTGAAATACTGTAATTTTATGGCCCGGTCCATTCAAGATGCTGTCAAGACATACCAGGGTGTCTAAATCGAAATGATCTATTGTACTAATAAAGGTCTTAGCCAGTTGGTTGGAGATGTGGAAAGGAGGTGATTGTACTCTTAAAGTTGTTGATGATGATTTCCTTCCGCATGTGATAGAATGGATTTAAGATCCTTTTCTGCTGTAAGGTGATAAGAATATGGAAAGAAATTTAGGTAATTTTCTTTGGTACTTTGGTGTTCGGGTTTTGTACCGAAACAGTCGGCGTTTTTTTGCAGAATTTTTTCGTTACATAACAGTTTTTGAGACATTAGTTCAATTTGGTCATAAAATAATTCTTTGATCTAAAGAGGCGTCAAACCCAACTTTTTTGTACTTTTTAATGAAAGGCAGTAAAAAAAAAAGATACCGCTTTAACGAAATTCAAAAATTCAACACATTTTAATCTGCATTAAAAGGCTAATCTGCATTAATTTTTGTAGTGTTTTTCACTTTTTTTGCTTTTCCATTTTATACGTATAGTCGAAGAGTTTTCTGTGTCAATTTTATATGGCACTGTTGAATAAAAAACTGTTTGAATTTTGATGAAACATTGCAGCTTTATTAATGTAAACAAACTGCATATTTTGAGTTAAGAACTGTCGTCGTGAAATAGCAATGAACTGCAGCTTTGGAAGAGTTTATAGTGAAAATATCGTCTCTTCAACAGTATATTTCAGGTTTCTAAGAATATGAAATAATTAGTTTGTTGAAGCAACAAAATAAAAGAGCGTGAAGTAAAAAGTACAGTAAAAGTGGATTTTTCTTGGTTGTTGACAATAAGTTGGTATCTGAAACTTACAGTTGATAAAAAGTATAGCCGATGTAACTTTAATACTTCTGTATGAACTTTTCCATTCGTGAAATAACCAGTTACAGATGCAGTTTTGTTACTGCTGGGCGAGTCTACTAATCGTCGCTCATGTTCTTTTTCTTTTATTTTTTTCAACAGTTTCCAACAGTGTGAATTTTTGCAAAAGTGTTACTGTTAAGTTTTTTAGACGATTTATATTTGCTGTGGAGTAAAACTGTCTTTTTCCTCCTTATTTCATTCTTCTTGTTACAATTTTTAATCAGTAAAGTAACACTTTTGGCACGAGTATCAGATTGACCAACTGAAGTTGTCTGAAATTTGTTATAAAAGTGTTATGCTTAAATTCTGTGAGACAAATGCTTATATTGTACCTGGTAAAACAGCAGTAATGTTGTTCAATTATCTCGCCGATGTTTATGGACAAAAATTCATTAGTTGGCATATTAATGAGGTACCTATTTGCGAATAAATAATTTACAAGTTGTACAGCAATGACAATAACAATTTCATAATTTTTATCCAAAAATGCCACCACCGTGTCTTCCGTAACCAAACCCAATCATATCACCGTAACTTTGTCCCGGTTTACCCATACCAGTATAAGCTGCTGCCTGCTCGCCAATTTCACCTCTTTCATGCCTACCAGCAGTTGCTCCGAAGTCTTCATACTGTCGTTTCATCCAGGTCAAAAGAAATTAAATTATATTTTAAGTTTTCTGTATGAAAAAATCAGCAGTTTTTTCAACTGTTATTTGATTGTTCAACCATAATATGCGGTAATAAACTTACTTCAAGCCATATACAGAGACTGCAGGAAATACCCGTAATAAGTGCACTAAGAAGGATTTTATACTCCGACAAACCGCTGCGTCTGCTGCTGCAAGAAAAAAAAAATGAAAACATGAGGGATCTCTTCCGTGCATTACTTTGAAATAGCTTGTTTGTGGGCATTTTCAACAAATGCGTGCACAAATTCTTGTGTATAGTTTTAGTAGGCATCAAATTTTAACAGCAAAAAAAACTGCAAAAAAAAAGACACCAACTGAAAGAAACTAAAGAAATCATTTTCCAAATAATTATATTTCATTACTGATTATGAACAAGATGATCCTATACCTTACTGTATCTGAGATTCAACGAAAGTAACTTCGGTAGAAGTCCAACGTTAGGAATTGACTTAAAAGAATTATTCGTAAGCACCAATTTCCATCTGAAAAGCACCTTCTTTGACATCTTCAATACCACAGTTCACTAGATGGACAACACAAATACGCAATTTCAAAAGACGCTTCAGAAGCTCAAAAAACATGCTAATTTCAAAAAGAATCTGGTATTTAATGGCACAAAAAGAAAAAAAACACTACGAGAGCATAACCATACCTTAATATGAGCTTGAATTTCTATTCAGCTTCAAAAAAATGTGTAACAATGACAACGATAAAATACAAATCGACCAATAAGCTCCTGGAACAGTAAACCTTTCGATATGAACCTTCTCAAGCGGCGATAAAAGCTTATTAAAGTCAGTGTGTTAACCCCGTTACATTCAAACGAGAAACCACTGCTTTCTTCAGCACATATACAGTTGCTGTTTAGACCATTAGGAAAACTAGAAAGAGCGAGAACAATAGAGCGAAGACTAATTGAGTAAAGGATGGTTAAAACGCCCCTTAGAACTATCATAGCTCAGAAGCTAAAATAAGTTGTACTTAAGCGACTCAACAATTAAGCCCCAAAAACAACGCCAAGGAAAGTAAAACACGATTTATGTAGTGCATTACCATAAATATGACTTTCAAAACTGATCCACAACCAAGAGCTAAAACAGACACTGTATTCGATAAAAAGTGATGAGGGTGTAAAAAGGAAAAAAATTGAAAGGGATGGAGCTGCGGTGAGAAAAAAATTCGAGTTAAAGGATTAGAGATCACCAATAAACGTTGTTGGCGCCTTTAGCCCATACGATCACAGAGTAATCGTCCAAATTTCTGCACCCATTAGACTTCTAGATTACGATGCAGGTAGCCGGTGACGAAAAGAAAATCCCGTTTACAATCTCAACTAAAAGCTGAACAAAATTGGTAAGCAACGCTGTCCACTGTGAGTTTGCAGCAACGGAAGATGTTCGCGGAACAACGCTGTCAAACGGATGCCACATTCAAATTCACGGTTGTAAATTTCAGCAGTGTAATCCTGCGTTACACCTCAAGCCACTGAGTGAATACAATACGCAGCGGTTTCAACATAATGATTTTTTGAACCATTTGAAAGCCGCATCAGAAGTTCCTGTAGGGGATTGTTTGACCGTTGTGGGTCTCTTCTTTTTTCTTTTTTTAATAAAATTTTCTTGGAAGATATTTTATCTACTAACTGAGTAAGCTGGTTAGTCCACTGCTCAAGTCTGTCCCCTTAGTTTAGTCTTAGTACTGCAAAATTGTTGGCCTTTACGTTTCTAGATGTGCAAATCGCCAATGGTCGCTGACGAGGCAAATCGGGATCCGGACATACTGGAAGACTTGGTAACAGATTTGGATCCAAGCGCAATAACTGATGTTGATTTATCGCCACTTGTTGCTTCTAGCTCATTTTCGGATGTAAGTCACATGCACAGCTGTAATTTCCAGTTACAAATTTACTTTGCTGAAACGTGCTGATGAAATTAGTTTTCTAAAAGTTTTTTTAATATTCCAAACTTATCTAAAAAAGAAATTTTAGTTTTCGTTCAGTTCGTTCGACGAAATTGGAGACGTGGCGAAGAAGAAGTCTCAGTATGTTAATTTTTGCTCATAATTACAATTTTTTTCTCCTCGAAACATCTTTTTAAAACAGTTAAATAATTATATTCTTCTGTACCCTTCATAGTTCACTAGCCTGAGGTACCCTCTTACATTACTGCTTCCAGGACAAAGAAACCTGTTGAGGAAAAAGAAAGAAAACGACGTGGTAGAAAACCAAGACGTCAACCCAGTAATGTTTGTCGTCAAAAAACTCAGGTTTTCAGTTTAAATCAATTACGTGTCTGTTGGAACGAAACACCGTTGTGAAACAGAAGTGAAAGTGAGACAGTGGCTGTACTGTTTTTGCTTCGTCAAACTCTTTTACCTTTCCAGGTTATCAATGGAAATCTTGACTAGAACATAATAATGCTTAGAATTTAGCAAAACAACCTGATGGAGACATTGAAAGAATTGAAAAGAGATTGTTATCGGTTTGAAAAGGAAAGGAAGTGGCGCGATAAGCTAAATCATTTGCTCAAGTTCAGAAGGTTTTTACAAGTTACTTATGCTTTTTTTC